CGCCCTCCAAAAATCTGTTGACATTAACTCCGCCCTCCAAAGCCAGCGTTTACGTTAGCATGGCTAATAATAGCAGAAGCTCCATTGTACAACCATATGAGACCCTGTGAGACCCAGAGGCAGAGTCGTGGTCGCAGCTTCTTTTTTTTCTCCCTCCTCTGCTCTGCACTCACTCTGCTTGCTGTTACCAGAGCAGGGAGCAGCAGCGGTCAAAATACCTCAGAAACTTCAACAAATAGGCTTTAACAAGGCTTCAATAAGCTAAAAAATAGAGGTACATGAGAAAACGTGTTCATAACGAACGAAAATAAATAAGTAAATTGTATGTGTCCGTCTCAGTCTCAAACCCTGGTCTTCTGCTCTCTGGCCCAACACTCTGCCCATTGCCACATTGGGAGGCTTGTTGTGAAATGAGCTGCGCATTGCACAACAACAACAGTGACGACTTTTTATACTGAGGAGGAGGAGTCTCACCCGAGGGTTGCTAGGTAAGGGGCTGAACGCAGGTTCTGGTGGGTTGTCGTACGGCTTGTGACATCACAAAATGATGGAAGTATAAAACTCATCGTTAATATACATTAAAAATACATTTACTTACAGTAAATATGCCCCTGGGAGCATTTTTTGGTCCTAGGACTGTTTTTTTAAGAAGTACATGCCCAAAGTTGAGAAAAAAAAACCTTTAAAAAGTGAATTTTGCATAATAGGCCCCCTTTAAAGGGGAGATATGCACAATCCACTTTGTTAGCCATTGAATGTATTTTGTTGCATCCTTGGAGTCTCTAGGTGCTGCAGAGATACAGTATCTTTGTAATCTGTTTGGGTCATATTTTTCAACCTGTTCAGTTTTCTCTATTTCATTTATTGGACAAACTCTCAGCTATTTGAACCGTATCAAAACCTTCACCTGGGTCAGGGATCATGTGCTTTGACTTMTAGTAACCTTTATGTTGTTTTTAAACCTTAATTGTTTTTAAATAGATACATTCAGAACTTGTCATGACCCTGAGCTTTCTGTGTTTTACTGTCTTTGACTTTATTTTTGTAAATGTGTTTTATAGTCATATTTTTCCCCTGGTTTTAGTTTGGAGAGTTCTTGTGAGTAAGTTTGTTCGCTGTTAGRTTCCTTCCTGTGTCATTTTCTTCATTTTTGCCTCAGTCAGTTCTGTTTTCTGCTCCTCATCTCTCACCTGCCCCTCATTTATTAATCAGCTCAGCTGCACTCTGTCAGTAATCATGACTTCTGCTCACAGCTTTCATTCCCTCATTATTATTATATGCACACACACACACACACACACACACACACACACACACACACATCAACTATGTCTCTCTATCCTTGTGGGGACTTTTCATTGACTTCCCTAAAATTAACTTGAACTCAGATGACACCTTGGTCCAAAATCTAATCCCCCCACCCAAAATCAGCCTCCAAAATCACAAGGAGCATCCGGTCTCCATGAGGCTGCATTTTCCTGAAAAATTGTCCCCACCAAGTAGCAAAAACAAGGGCACACACACAAACATACACACTTTCACATGCACACTGATCCATTATAGTTATAACGAGTTATTGAACCATAAACTGGACTGTCTGGTCAGCCTRTTTTAAAGATACTGTTTGGTTCACATCAGACAACTCTGTTCATTTGGTCTATTTATCACCTGCTGCTGAAGGCAAAGATAATACGGTCTTGTCTGTATCTGTTTGTTTGTTTTGTCAGCAAAATATCTGATGAACCATTGGACGGAGACTCCTCTTCAACACATAGCCCAAGCTCTTAATTCATCTCACAAGAACTTGTAATTTCACATGAGACAGAGCTTAAAGTCTTTTACAAGGTTTGACCAAAAGAGCTGCAAATTCATCTTGTCTCATCGTGAGATCATTTTAATGTGGAGCTCTGGTGTGGAAGGCAGCAGGTGACATGCAATCCTTCAAGAACTGCTTGGCCTTTAATTTGAAGAATCTCCTGCATTCTCCTCCTTGAATGTCACAAGAATTCACGCTTCAGTTGCATCAACAGAAATCAATGAGTTCTGTAAGAAGATACTCAGTGTGTATGATGTTTGAGGGTTTCTTGGTTCAGCAGAGACAGTGTTCTGTAACTTTCAGGCTGATCTGGATAAAGACTAATGTATAATGGAGCTYTGATTACAGATGGACTGTATGTGAAAAGCTTCAGCACACAGTCCAGTGATTGTGAAGCTGTAGACAAATCCCTGCTAAGCAGCTTTGCTCACGAAATCAGTAAGGTTTYTGGTGTTGAAGCTGAAACAAACGACAGACGAGATGGTGGCGATGCTTGACAGAGTTAAAGGCATTTAGGAGCAGCGTGTGGAATGAGCCTAAAGCTGAGTGAACACATGTGTAGTCATGGCAGACACACATTACGTGCACATGAATTCAAACAGCAGGAACTCTTGGAAATGATACAGCCTGTCAGGTGATGTTTTTTTCTTGAGCAGGGTTCACAGACCCATCAGGTCTGTTTCTGCAGTGATCGCTCCAGCCACAGTAAGATCAATGCAAATAAGGGCAATTCCAACAAAACTGAGATGTGTTGTAAAAGATAAATAAAACACAATTTATTGATTCACAAGTTTTATTCACAATTAAAACAACGTTTAAATAAAAAATTGTGAATATTTAGGGAAAAAAAGACAATTTTGAATTTGATGTCAGCAGCAAATCATTAAAGTTGGGTTGGGGCAACAAAAACCTGTGAAAAAGTATGAATAAGAAACAGCTGGAGGACATTATGTAACGAGTCAGGTTAACTGATAACAGGACAAAAGGAGAACTTTTGGAGTATTTTAATCATCAGTCTGCAAAAAAATTGTTAAAAAATTAGTGGAAGAGTTTCAGAATAATCTTCTGAGTCTAAACCCCGAGGCTGAAGGTCAGAATTTGATGCCCAGAAGCAGTTCTGTGGTCAGATGAATCAAAAACTGAAAGTTTCTTTAGAAACCACAAACACCTGTCATCCATACCGAAAAGMAGAGGGACCATGTGGCCTGTTAACAGCACACAATTCAAAAGCCTGCCTCTCTYATGGTATGGAGGTGCATTACAACATGG